CTCAAAAAAAAAAAAAAAAAAGACTTGTACACTGAAAACCACACGATGATGTGGACAGAAGTTCACGGAGAAGTAAAGGAAAAGGCCCCTGAGCACAGTGCCGGCAAGACTGGGCACCACTAGGGGGCAGTGCTCCCTGAGTTGGTCAGTGCAGTGCCCCTCAAAAGTCCAACTGCCTTTTTGCAGAAATGGACAAGATGGCCCTAAAACTCATACAGAATTAATTGCCAGGGACCCAGAAGAGCCATACGTAAACAGTAACTCGAAGCGGGTCAGAGATCTAAACGTAAGAGCTGAAACCATAACTCGCTTAGAGGAAATCTCCGGGACCCTGGATTAGGCAATGATTTCTTCAATATATGACACCAAACGCACAAGCAACAGATGAGCAACAGATACATTGTATTTCATCAAACTCAACAGCTTTCATGCACAAAGAACACTATCTAGGGGGTGAAAAGACAGCCCACAGAGTCGAGGGAGCCCACGAGTGAGTTACGTAACCCAGAGTGGTCTGGTAAGCAGAGCACAGAGAGAACTCTCACGGCTCCCCAACAACACGACAGCCCCATTTCAAAAAGGGCAAAGGATTTCTGTAGACATTTTGCCCAGAAGGATGTACAAATGGCCAATGATCACACAAAAGATGCTCACCGTCCTCTGTCATTAGGGAAACGCATATCACACCCCCAGGACAGCCAGAAGCAGGAGCGGCAGACGGGAGACCCGGGAGCCCCGCGCCTTGCTGGGGAGCATGTGGAAAACAGCAGGAAAGCAGCGTGGCTCTTCCCCAGAAGGTAAACACACAGCCGCCACAGGACCCTGACACTGCCCTCCTCGGGGTACACTTGGGAGGATGGACACCCGAGTGCATACAAACACCCGTCCGCCCGTGCGCAAGGTCACCCTACTCGTAATAGCCACAGAGAAACAGGCCACACACTCGGGCGCGGGTGGGCGCCCGCGACATGTGCCTTAGCCGCACAACGGAGTCACACCGGGCAGTACGCAGCGGCACCGCTCGCCGCCGCACACGGAGGATCCATGAAAGTCATGGGCTCAAAACCTCGGGCTAGAGATGTGAGGGCAGCCAGACACAAAGGCCACACCGCGTGACTCTGCACGGACTCCAGCGCCCACAGTTGCCGGGGCAGGGGGAGTGACTGCTCACCGGGAGGGGGTTCCCTCTGGGGTGATGAAGCAGCTCGGGAACTAGACAGTGGTGCTGATGGCACGAGATTCTGAATATACTAAAAACCACTGAATTGTACACTTTTTAAAAATGCTTAAAATGGCAGCTTCTGTGACGTGACTTTTTCAAGACAAAAACTACTCAGGTAAGTTGTCTGCAAACTTCTCTCCAGGCTCTGGCCTGCTCTTCACTGAGGGGGATGGGGACCCCACCTGGCCCCTCCAGTGACCAAGGAGCCAGTGGCTTTCAGCTGAGCACCCCTCCCACCCCAGGGGGAAGCCAGGGCCATCTGCCTGCACCCCTTGGAGAGATGGGGCCCCGGGGGTCGCTGCTGCAATCTGGCGCCAAGCCTCCCAGCACCCCAGGGAAGCTCTCCTGTCCGCAGTCTGGACCTGGGAGGCCTGGTCCTGTCTGTCCAGCCCTCACAGGACTTGCGTTGTACGGGCCTGGGGTGGCATGCGAGGCTGGGAGGAGACAGGGACCCCTTTCCTTCCCATTTCTCCTTCTCCTTGGACTTAGCACAGCCTTGCGGCACATGGCCGTCAACCTGGCCTCCACGGGCCCCACCTCAAACGCCATACCTTCCTTTGTGCAGGACTGATGGGGCCGGGCTCTGTGCCACACCCACTCCACATGGCGCACGGGACTCTGGGGCTGCATGCGGCTTAGCCCAAGGCCAGTTGGTAAGAGGCAGGCAGGACAGCTGGGCCCAGCCTCGACCCTGCACTCCCAATCCCCCCACTCCAGGTCCTGATGCACTTGGGCAGGGAAAGCCCGGGACCAAGGCAGGGAGGGCTGAGAGCTTTGGGGGTGGTGGTGGGGGCAAGACCTGCTTGGGCAGCAAGCTGGGGTGGAGTGTCAGTGTCCCCTGCATCTGGGTTGCCCCGATGCCCTTGGAACACCAGCTGGTGGGATAAGGCAGCAGCTGCCTGGGACCCCAGCCAAGGGCTGTGGTTTTCCTTGTCCACAGACCACAGGGCGGGGGCAGAAACTGGGCACTGCTGGGGCCACATGGAGCCAGCAACCCTCCATGCCGACCCCCATGCCCTTCCCTGGGGCAAGGCCATCACTCCACGGCCAGCTCCCCGTCCTGCCTCAGATCCTCCTCCCAGAAAACAGGTCTCACCCGGGCCTTGCTGGGTCTGGGGACAGGGATGAGGAGAGGAGCCCAAGTCCCAGCTCCAGGGTGCAATGTGGCCCATTCTTGCCCCGCCCCCTTCACAGCCTCCAGGACCATAGCTGGGCTTCCTGGGGGTGTGACTCTGCCCCTCGAGGAGCCCCACCCAGGTCTGCTTGTGCCCAGGGATCCCGTGCCCCTCAAACCTCAGTCAGGACTACACAGGACAGATGCTGGGGCGCTGGCTGCCCCTCCCACCCATGTTTATTTATGGGGAACTATGTCCACCGCTGAGTGAAAGACTACACGTATTCTTCTACTTAACCCACCTAACCTGGGGTGCTTATAACCCTGGGGAGAAAGCAGGCTCCGAGTGCGAGGTCATACCCTCAGACCTCCATCAGGTGTTGTATCATGCCTTCCCAAAGGACAGCCTTGTGTCTCAGTTGCAAAGTAGGGAGAACTGGGCCACCTTGGGCAGAAGTGAGCTGAAAACCACTTTCATGATGCTGGGGTGCAGGGTCTGAAGTCAGAAGCACAGCACCAGAAGCCTGGGATCCCATGGAGGAGGGCAGCTGGGGCTCCCTGTGCACCCAGCTCTGGTGAGTCCCAGTCCCAGGATTGGGAGGAATGGAAGCTGGGTTCAGACATCTGGGGAAGCAGCAGGAACAGGACAGGAGGATGGAACCTGGTGTGCTCCTTCCCACATGTAGGAGTCCCCTCGAAGGCAGCCGTGGAACATGCTGGCACCTGCTCATCCCACCAGGCCACGGAGGAGAGCCCCTAAGCATCTTGGTGGCACTCTACAGCTCCACCTGTCCTGGGGCGATCCTGCTTCCTACTGAGATGTCCCAAACAGGGGCTGTTACCATCAAGTGGGGCCGCTCAACTCAGCCTCCCCCCAGCCCCCTGGCCTTGTAAGGGGGTCTCAGAAGCACCGTCAGAGCAGGAGGGGAAGGGGGCCAGCAGCCTGCCTCGCTCACCGTCCCCTCTCGTTTCTCCCAGGGGTCTGGGCCCCAGAGAAGAGCTCAGTTCTCACAAACAGAAGATGCTGGGGCGGGGAGTGCTGAGACCCAGGGTCGTCCAAATCGTGACAACCAGCTTTTTGAGAACTAGCATGAATGGCAAGAAAGGCCTCTTAAAATCACACTTCTCAGCAAATGCCAGTGTAGGGAGCCTGGGGGCTGCGGGCTAAGGTCATGGCCCCTGCGAGCTGGGACTTGCAGCCCTTACTGAGACAAGCGGCTGGGACAGGGACACGCCGCGACCCCGCACTGGAGGTTGGGCCTGCGGTAAGGAGGCTGGCAGGGAAGGGCGCCCGGCGGGCAGCAGCGAGGGAAGGCTAGCAGAACTCCGGCCCAGAGGGGACGTGCCTCAACTGGCTTCCCAGAGCGGCAGGGCCTGACGCCCCTCCCCTCAGATACCAGCGCTGGTCCTCCGGCACCCGGACCACCCCGTGGGGCCCCCGATCGCTGAGTGTGCCAGCAGCAGGCAGGCTGGCAGACGGGCAGAGCAGCCGGGGACCAGGCCCGGCCACCCCAGCTTGCACCCTCCAGGGTCAGGGCAGAGGCCACTCAGTATGGCTGACTGGCCAGGGGTGGAGATGAGGGGAACCGCTGGTTTAAAAACAAACTCTGGGGGCGCCTGTGTGGCTCAGTCGGTGAAGCAGCTGCCTTCGGCTCAGGTCATGATCTCAGGGTCCTGGGATTGAGCCCCGCATGGGGCTCCCTGCTCGGCAGGGGAGTCTGCTTCTCCCTCTACCTCTGCCTGCCACTCTGCCTACTTGTGCTCTCTCTGCATCTGTCAGGTAAATAAAATCTTTAAAAAAAAATTTTTTTTTAAATACAAATAAAAACAAACTCTGGAAAATAAAAACGCAAAAGCAAAAAAAGCAGCAGGGTGTGTGCTGAAGGAGCAGACGGACGACGAGCAGCTGGGGACGGACACGTAGTCTGGTAGTCTTAAGCCCACCTGGGCACTTTTAGAAAAAAACAAAACACATCAGAAAATCCCCATGAACCTTAAATACCCTTCCTGTGCTCCTGGGAAAGCAACGTCAGGCTCCTTCTGGGGCTGGTGCTCTGTGGTGTGAGATCTGTCTCGTGCGGAGCTCTTGACAGCCTCGTGACCGAGACCTCGGAGCAGGAGGGGCCGCTGCCCGGGCCCATCCCAGCAGGGCCAAGCCTGCTGCCGTCCCCGTGGGTGGTGTGGCCGCCGTGTGCTGGGGCCTGGGCGCTCTACCTGTTACTGGGGGGACCGTGCCCCCAGTCACTACTCCAGGCAGGGGCGGGAAGTCAGGCAGCCTGAGCTCTTTGCCATGTCCAGCTCAGCTCCCCACTGCCACTGCTGGCCTTTCCAGTGTCTTGGGGCCTCAGCTGTGGGCCTCGGGGGGCCTGCCCTCACCTTCCGGCTCTTCCGAACCTTCCTGAGGGCACACCTTTGGCCTCTGCACCTTCTGGCTCCTGGTAATGACATCAAGAAGGGGCAGCATCAAACACAGAGCCAGCCCGGAGTCCCCCTTGCTCCCCAGGTGGTGCCTGGAAGCTGCTGCTGATTCGAGAACGGGCAGATCCTGCTGGTCAAGGGCTGCATACACTCCAGCTGGCCAGCCCCTAACCCCAGGGGAGTTGTGGGGGAGACCCATTCTCAAAACAGCTTAGCTGGGCCTAGGATGGCCCTTGACTTAGAGGAAAAAGGAGCTCGAGGAAAAGCGGACAGTAACCTCTCTGGGGCTCGTCAATGCCACGCCTGTTCCACACATAGACAGTGGGCCACGGTGTCTGTCTCGTGGCAAGGTGCTGTCAGGGTTAAATAACCAGCCACAGTTGGCTGTGACCATCCGTGCTGGGCTCTGCCACCAGAACCTACCAGGACAAGAATGACTGTGTCTGGCACGCAGGTAAGGAAACCGAGGCCCGGAAAGTGTCACAGCCATGGCCTTGTGCAGGCCCAGGATAAGGACCAGGTCCATCTGACCCCCACGCCTTCCTGTGGAGCCCACGCCCCAGCCCCATGCAGGCAGTGGACAAGGCAGGTGGGGGCAGCCCTGGTGGGCTTCAGGAATTCCCACTTGCCTGGAGTCAGCCCAGGCCCCACATCCGGCTGCCTTGGCTCCACCACCCCTCCACGGACTCCGCGTCCTCCACCCAGCCCCGCAGGGAGGCGGCCCCACCACGATCGGCCCCATGCTGTTGCCACCGCCACTGAGTGCCCCCAGCACTCACCTCTCCTGCCCTGGTGCGGGGGGCCCGGGGACTCCCAGGGTCCTGCGGATGTAGTCCCGAGAGCGGATGTCAGCCTGAGGAGAGGGGGGCTCACGTGAGAGGTGGTGGCCTCTAGATCAGCCCCCACCCCCGCAACAGCCTGGCGCAAACCCTCTTGCTTCCCGGAGAAAGCCACAGAGGTAATGCCGGGCTGTCACAGGCCCAGCCTTTGGGGCCTCAGCCGCAGCCCCGTGGGTGACACAATGGCAGGTCCCTGAAGGGCCCGAGGGCACAGGCCGAGCGGGAGGCCCTGGGTTGTCCCCGGGACCCAGTGGGGCCACTCGGCTCTCGCTGGCTTTGTGGCCTGTGCTTCCATAGCTTTTGCTTCTGTTCCAGTCCCGTTCTCTGAGGGTCCGCCCCGGCCCGGCTGCTGGCCTGTCTCCCTGGCTCGTGTCGGCTAAGACCCCCCCTCCCCAGGGAGGTGTCGCCAGAAGGTTCCGCAAAGTCACTGGAATGGGCAGGATCCAGGCAGACCTGAGGGAGAGTGGCTCCGGCCAGAGCAGGACCCTGGAGGCACCCCCTAGAGGCCCAGCTCTTCACAGCCCTGAGCCACAGCCACGCAACAGGCTGCTGACGCCACCTGCAGGCCAGCCTGCACACCAGCAGCCGGGGGCAGTGCCAGGGCCCCGGAGGTGGTGGTGGCCGCCAGCAGCAGGGAGGCACAGCCAGGGTGTCACCGGCTCTCAGCATCTGGCTGGGGCCCCTGGGCCCAGTCACCTCGAGCTGACCCAGCGCAGGTCATGGGGAGACGGGAAGCAGCAGGTACCAGGGAGGTTTCCAGGCGCTCCGCCCTCCCGTCCTACAGCAGCACTGCACCAGGAACCTGGGCCCCAGGGCTGGACAGCACAAACCAGCACCTCTTGCCTAGACGGGCTCCCCCAGCTCCTCCACACTGCCCACAGCCACTGCTTATGACTCATACCCAGGTCCCTGCGAGGAAGCCTTGCTGAGGGCCTTGCGCCACCTGGGCCCTGGCTCTGGCCGCCCCTTCCTCTGACTTTCCTGCCGGCATCAGATTCATTTCCACACCAGGGCCTTTACAGATGTGGGTTCTTGAGGCTGGACTACCTTTCTCCCTCCTCTGGCTGGTCTCTTCCTGAGAACGGCTTCTCACGGGCTTCCCCGGGACACACACCTACCTGTGACTGGTGATGCCCTGTCACCACCGAGCCCACCAAAGCAGGCCCTTGGGCAGCTTTTGCTCAGTTCTATCTCCAAGAGGCTGAGTTTTTTTTTCAGCCGAGACAACCTGTTCCCCAAAGTTTTGCTCCCCCCAACCCCCACCGTCACCGATTTAGGTGCTGGGGGCCTGGCCCAGCCACATTCTGCCATCTCCTGACTGATGACTGGTCCAGCACAAGCCTTCCTCAGCACCACCTGCAGCCCTGCAGGGGCCTCCCCAGCAGAGGATGCGGGCTCGCTCCCAGGCCAGCTGGGCAGGTCAGGCACTGAGGGGTTCACCAGGGGTGGGCAGGCCACTCTGCCGCCCGAGCTGACATCAGCTGATGCTCCCGATGACCCCAGTATGGGGTGCAGGAGGCTGAAGCTGCGTGCAGGAGCACGGCAGGGCCCCAGGATCAGCTCTGGTCCCCCCTTCTCCTCCCCCCCAGAGCCCAGCGGGGCCCAACCAGGCCCCTCCACAGGAGCTTGTGGTGAGGGAAGAGCAGAAGGCGCATGTGGCCCACCCACCTGGCGCACGGGCTCTGGGATCCGGAACCTGCAGCAGCCTCGAGTGAGGCGCACGGCGGCCTCCAGGCTTATCTTGTGGCCCACAGAGACGTAGAGGGGCTTGCTGCTGTGCTTGTGGCTCTTCAGGACCTGGGACAAGGAAGGCAAAGTCAGAGCGCGGTAGAGCCAACCCTGGGGGACTCCACGACTGACAACCGGCCGGGGGCAGGCTGTGGCGAGTGCAGCCCAGAGGTCCCCTCGTCACAGCCAAGGGTTGGGGCGCAGGGCACACCCTGGGTCAGTCAGAGGGGCGGGGGAGTGGACAGGGTCTGGAGTGCATGAACACCTCCATGCGTGTTTGCGGGTGCCACCCCCAGGGGTGCAGGCCCCTGGCCACTCACCATGCCCAGGACAGTCCCAGAGCCTCCTATCAGAGGAAATGAATCTCCTCCAGCCCGCAGAAGTCGTATCTGGAAAACGGGAAGAAAAAACATGGAAAAAGTCTTTTCTCAGCGGAGGGCAGAGGGCAGGCCTGTTAGTTTTTGAAGTCCGAGCAGCCGCTAGGCAAGGAGAGGGAAGGGCCCAGGTCTGCACATGGTCTGCAGCCCTTGCGAAGCCATGCGGCCTTGGCTGTGTGCACACCTGTCCCATGAGCGGACTTGGCGTCCAGGAGGCCATCCCCAGCACTGTCCGACCCTGATGAGACCCCTGGAACTCAGTTTTCTCTTCCTTGTTCTGCGAATGAGGAATCCGGGGCCTGGAGAAGGGGCAGCAGCCCACCTAGGCCCCAGGGCCGATGGGTGGAGGGGCCAGGCTGGAATGAAGGCCTGGTGCACGCCTGCCCAGCCAACCTGACCGCTGGACACACAGGTGCTTCCCGTGGGCCGGAACCACTTCCTCTTTCTCTCCTGCGAGGAATTTAAGGATGTTTGGTTCAACCCAACAAAGTCTTTCTAGGGGCGGGGATTGGTCCACTGAGTGACTCAAGAGCCACCTAAGTTTGGTCTCCAACTCCACCAACAACTGTTTTGTGCAGACACTGGTCTGCCCGGAGGAACGAGACAGATGTGATCACTGCTCTCGGAGTCGGCCATCCAGCGGTAGAGCCGGACGCGTCACTGGGTCCCTCCGGGGTGGGGTGTCACGTTCTCAACGCCAGACTTGAAGGGGCCAAAGGAGGGAGATGCTGGGAGAAGGTGCGGCGAGGAAGCTCTGAGGCAGGCCGGGCAGCACCAAGCTGCAGGCCCTGGACCGGGGCCCCACAGGCTCCCAAATGTCCTGTCCCCAGTCACTGCGGGCCCTTGCCCTACATGGGCCGCCACAGCAGCCCAGAGGTAGTGGGTATGGGAGTGGCAAGCATGCACCCAGGAGGCTGGGTGAGCTCAGACAGGAGTGCACTCCTCCAGACTGGCCATCTGCTGCCATGACCCAAGACCCACAGGGGACGCAGGGCATGCACAGAGAAAGGTGGGGCTTTCTTACTCTGGGCTAGGGAGCCAGGACGGTGAGAGCGCCAGCAGGCCAGGGCTGGATCAGAGGTGCCTACGGGGCAGGTCTGTGGGGTTGTCTGAGCCTGCATGCCCCCCACAGGCTCTCTCTGTGCCCTCCCCTTGTGCAGGACATCACCCCCATCCCTCACCTTCCCCTCGTGCAGGGGTTGCCCCCCATCCCTCACCTCCCCCTCACGCGGGGGTCACCCCCCAACCCTCACCTCCCCCTTGTGAGGGGGTCGCCCCCATCCCTCACCTTCTCCTTGTGCTGGGCGTCGTTCTCTAGCCCGTCCACCTGTAGGAGTTTCTTGGCTACCCCAACGCAGGGCAAGTCTGTAAGGACGCCAAGGTGGCAGGCCACTCCGAAGCCTGCAGGGGCAGAAAGCGAGGCTGGGCTGGTGGGGCAGTGAGCCAAGTAGTCGAGAGACGGTGTGGAGAGAGAACAAACCAGAACCCGCCGAATCTTCCCAGGTAAACAGAGGCCTGTCGGCGGACTGAGGACTGGGAAGACAGGACTGGGAGAGCCAGCCTGACCCGGGACGCAGCCCTCTGCCCCAATTTCACAGTTGTCAGGCTGGGGTGGAAGATGCCTCCTTCCCCCTGGCAAGGTCAGGAGCCTGATTAGTTCAGCATACTTCACACTGGTTCTCCTCTTTCTGGCACTTTCCATCCTCTTCTCCCCTTTGTAGCTGCCATCAGGCCTGTGTCACCCTCCCAACACATCCTTGGGGCTCCTGCCGGGCAGTGCATATACAATGACTGGGGCCAGGCCCCATGCTGGCACCCACGGGTCCCAGGGCCAGCCTTACCAGGTCCCTCTGCTGCCCCACCCCCAGGCTTGTGTCCAAGGGTGAAACCTCTCCTCTCCCTCGGTCACTCTCTCTGTGGTCAGTGTCCCAGTGCCCGGGTGGGTGCAAGTTTCCCAGCGCCAGCGGGGAATGGCACCCCTGTCTGGTTTCCATCGAGGGCCTGTCACTACTCAAGGTGGACGAGGTGGGACAGGCCATCTGAGCAGCAGTCAGGACCAAACTGGCCAAGGGCGCTTGAGATTGGCCAGCATGGAGTGCTAGGGGAGGCTTCATGGGCGGGCAGGAAAGAGGCGGGGGTGACAAGAAGCAGGATTCTTTCCTGGGCGGGGTCCTGACAATGAAATCAAGCCCAGGGAAGCGTGGCCAGTGCCAGGCCTGCAGCAGAGGGCCCGGGGCAGGGTGCAGGCACTCCGGTAGGACACTGGTCAGAACTGCCCCCTCCTGGGCCCTGTCTTTTGGGAGCAGGATTACCTCGGTGGTGGAGAACCCCATTTCCATCCACAAGGAGGACCTGGAAGAGCCACAGGTGAAAGTCAGTCAGCCGAACTGTCCCCCGCCCATCAGACCAGGGCATCCCGGATCAAGGGGGGTGGGACTGCCACTTCTGGGGGGCGCGGGCGGCTTTTTAGAAAATCTGATCCCTCTCCTCAAGGTAAAAGTGCATCCTTTCCAGGGAGTTCAGAGGTCTCCCCGTGAGGTGGGTGATGCGGCCGGCCGAGGCCTTCCCTCCTGGGTGGAAACCGAGGGCCCTTCTCCTTGGAGTCGAGGTACCTGCCTGGGGCACGAGGCGGGGCTCCTTCTCCTGCAGCCGCCGCACTGCGTCCACCAGGAAGGGCACCTCTCGGAAGGCCAGGAAGCCTGACACGTAGGGCGCTGTTAGGCTAACCATGCAGCAGTCCTCATACACCACCTGTCACCGGGCACCCAGGTCACAGGGGGGCGCGGCCCTTGGCCCTTCGTCCTTTAGGCCTCGTGGTGCTGCCAGCTCCCTCCCCATCTCCCAGCAACCCCCCAAGCCACACCTATCTGGGGGAGAGTGCTCGGTGACAAGGTGATCGCCCTGCAAATGGGTGGCAGGGAATCAGCCTGCTGCCTTTCAAAGGTGCTCACACACTTCCCGCACCAGGCCCTCCTGCTCGGGTCCCCTCTGCCCACCCCACACCTGGCTGTCAGCTGTCGGGAGGCTCAGAGAAGAAAAAGCACAAGAGCATGTGTGTGAAGTGCCACCAGAGTAAGGATGTCACTGTTCCCCATTAGAAGGAAAGGCCAGGTCTTCACAGGGTTACAACCACAAGAAAGGCAAACCCGGCTCTATGAAAAGAAATTTCAAAGAATCCAGAAAAGGACAGGCGGGTTCTCAGAGCTAGACGGTCTGAAAGAGAAATTGGGTCCCAAGGGACTGGACAATCTAAAGAGAGACTGTGAGGCCACCAGAGCAAAGAGCCCTGGGGCCTTCCAAACCACACCTTCAACCCCCCACCCCAAAGCTGGGCTCGAAGTGCTTACGCCCCAGAGAAGAGGCCGCTTTCCCCAAACATGAGGGTGGGGGCTTGTGACTCCAGCAACCTGATCATGGACTCACAGGAAGCTTATCCAACTGCCAATGACCTAAAGTGGGCAGGGTCTCATCTGAAGACAGAGCAGAGAAATGGATTCACAGTGAGCCCAGTGGCTGGAGCACAGAGCCTCATGAAGCTCAAATGTGGCCTGAGCTCTCACAGGATCATGGCTGCTTACGTCTGAATCTGTCCGCACAAGCTCCAGAGACTGGAGACCCACAAGGAGAGGGCATAAAGCTCCACGGACACCACGTCCACGGCATGACCCAGGGAGGAGCCTATTACGACCATCCACGTGCACCTCCGTGGGGAAGTGAACAGCCTGGAACAGCAGACAGCTCTAGATCTGGGCTGGGCAAGGACAGGTGGGGACTGGCGGGGGAGGGCCGGTGCTGGGGAACAGACGGAATGAGACCCGTAGGCAGTCCTGGCCAGTGGGGACCCGGGGGAAGAGGCATGGGAGGACACGGGACCAGCAGGGGCCTTGCAGGAAGACTCGGCCTCTGGGGAGAAACGGGAGCCCTGCAGGGTTGTGGTGAAGAAAATGAGGCCGGAAGTGTGAGGCTCTTCAGAAACAAGAGTGTCAAGAGTCGGAAGGCATGCCGGCCATGGTCAACTCAGAAAAGGACACCGCTTACTGGAGCAACTACACTTCCCTGTCCCTCACGATGAGAAACCCAGCCAGCCACCCAAAGCCCCGGCCCTCCAGACACCTGTCTAAACACGACTCGCCATGCACACTGAAGGCTGTGCAAACTCAAGACGGCAATGACCCAACTCACGACTCGTTAAATAAATGCTGCCAACAAGCTGTGCAGCGGCGGAGGAAAATGAACCATTCCTACATGCAGATGGAGAGCACAAGGCAAAAATTAAACACTCAGGACGGACATTAACAAAAACACCGGATAGCCAGAAAAGCCAGAGAGCATGGCCAAGGAAGAAAAACAGGGTGATGGGGCTGAGTGCTTCAACAGAGCACTTAAAGCCTCAATCCAAGAAACGTTCCAGAAAGAAGGGAAATCTGACCCCACACATTCAAAAAGCCAGCTGTCAACTTGGAGAAACGGACCTGGAACAGTCAGCTCAAGAAATAGCTGAAAAAAAAGGAGTAAAGGAAACAGGTACCATAAGGGGCACCCCCGCCCAGAGTCCACGTGACCCAAGGGCAGCAGTGGGTGTGCACCATACGTCCACCCTCTACGATCAGAAAGCCAAACCAGCTCAAGAGGCAACTGGGGAAATGTGACATGGACAGGGATCCAGGCGGTGCTACGGGACTGTGGCTATCACGTAGGTCCCTCCCAAGACAGGCCTGCAGAAGTGCTCCCAGGTGAGCTGTTGACACTTGCGGATCCCTCAGCGCACGCGCGCACACGCACGCGCACACGCACACACAAAGAAAACGAGAACTCAAGGGCGCCTGGGTGGCTCAGTTGGTTGAGCAACTGCCTTCGGCTCAGGTCATGATCCTGGAGTCCCGGGATCGAGTCCCGTGTCGGGCTCCCTGCTCGGCGGGGAGTCTGCTTCTCCCTCCCTCTGACCCTCCTTCCTCTCATGCTCTCTATCATTCACTCTCTCAATAAATACAAATCCTTAAAAAAATTAAAAAAAAAAAAAGAAAACGAGAACTCGGTTGGGCAACAGTTGGATCTAAGCAGAAGAGTACACGGGTGTTCAACGTGTTATTCTTCCAATGTTTCAATGTTTACACATTTCCACGTTAAAAATCTGGAAAAAGAAAAGAAACTCAGTTGTGTAATGGCTGTGTGAGCACGGCCCGGACGGTCAATCTCTGTGAAGATCTGCAGGTTCCACCCAAGTGGGTGACGTGGCTCCTAAACCCTCAGTCTCTTCGGTGCATTTAGACCCACCGAACGTGGGTGGAACTCGGTTCAGTTCTGGTGCCTGACGCAAAGACGGACCCTGCTAACTGCGGGCATCCCGGAGGGCCAGCAGCAAGGGAAGAAGCTGGAAGTCACAACAGTGAGCCTCTGAGGATAGAGCAGAGCAGACAGACGGAGGGCACAGAGTGGTCTTCAGAGAGTGGGAGGGTGGACATGGAGGAAGGCGGGAAAGGTCTGTTCTGCACTCTGCTGCCTGAGGCACAATCGACGGGCAGAAGTCACAAACATTTCAGCTCCCTGTAGAAAAGAACATACTAACCAGGTGTCGAACCACGGAATGGGCTCTGCTGTGAGGCCCGCAATTGTCAGGGATGCTGAGGAAAGGATTCCTGGCTGCATAGAAGGCAGACCAGCGCTTCCCACCCTGGCTCTCCCGAGCGATCACAGGGACGCTTATTTAAAGAAGCAGATTTCCTGGGAGATTCTTTTTTCTTTCCAGAAATGAGTTGGGGCTCTGGGATTTATATATATTTTAAAAACTTTACTGAGGCAGAATTTACTACCATAGAGTTCACTTGTTTGAGGTGCATACTTCAATGTTTTTTATTTAGAGAGTTGTACAACCATCCGATCCTAGAACATTTTCATGACCGCCCCCCTCCCAAATAAATCTTGCCTCCATTTGCAGTCACACTCCATCCATCCTTCTCCCTAGCCCTCAGCGACCAGGCACTTATTTTCTATCTCTGGATTTGCCTATGGGATTTGTATACGCCTCCAGGAGACTGACTGGGCAGACCTGCGATCAGGCATTTGGGAGCTTCTGGGAGCCACCAGACTCTGCCCAAGCCCCGTTCCTAGTCTAAGCTCCCGCAGCACAGGACAATGAACACCGAGTCCATCCAAGCAGCAGGCACTCTGCTCTGTGCTGGGGTTACAAGAGGATCAACCCACCCTTGAGAAGCCCCCGTTAGTGCACTAACTTTATTACAATGGAAAAAGCACTGCATGAAAAAGACACCATGGACAGGGATGAGAGGGGGTTAATCCTGCATCGAGGAGAAAGAACAAAGATGGGACTATGTGAACTAGGTCTTGAAAAGTGAGAAACTAGCTAATGTTTATTTTTTGAGAGCTTACCATGTGCCAACTAATTGCCTTCCATGCATGATCTCATTTATCCCTCACAACTGAGCTGGCTATCAACAGTGTCACTGTCCCCGAGTTAGAAAACAGGAAGTGAGAGGCCCAGGGGGGTGAAGTGGGAGTGGCAGAGGGGAGGTAAAGACCCAGGCTGTCTGGCTCCGGAGGCTGGGCCTTATCCCCGAGGCCATCCTACAAACTGACCAGGGGACCTGTGAGGGCAGGGACTCTGGTTCCACTACCACCCTAGATCCCACTCTCAGCACACAGCAGGCGCTCAGTACATTTCTGCTGAGTTTTGACTAACAGGGTCTTCCAATTAAAGCACAAAGACACTGAAGCAGGAAAATGCGGTCTTTAGGAGCAGGCAGACGAGGGAGGGAAAACCTCTGAGCTGCAGAGCAAAGGTTTCCTTGTCAAGTTCTTCTTTAGTCAAGGCTTCCTGAACTGTGGACCCCAAACGAATCACGGGCATACTGTTGACTCGTTCACGTATCTATCTGAGTGTCTCCATGGGGCAGGCATCAAGCTCCCACAGCTACAGCTGGTGGGCATGGCAACCCGGTTCCTACCACTGTGGAGGCAGAGAGACCCACCTATTCCATCCCAGTGTAGTAAAGGGGAAAGAGAGGGTACTGAGTATTTCCTGGTCCTGCAGGGAGGGGGGGTGCTTACTGGGGGACCTGAGAGGTGAGTAGGGGTTAGCCAGGAGAGGAAACATCAGTGCAAAGGTCAGGCAGGCAGAGAGAGCACGGCATGTTTGAGGAACCTGAAGTACTCCAGAGTGGGGAATGGGGGTTGGTGAGAGTTGAACCTATGGCTTGACATTCGGTAAGGTCCGATTCCGAAGGGTCTTTACACTCATAAGCAAGTACAACCCCATTTTCCATGAAATCACAGAATGGGCACTGAAGTGTTCTAAGTGAACTAGATGGTGGCATGACCACATCTACTTTTTAGAAAAATCGCTCTGCTGGCAGCATGGAGAAGAGGCCACAGAGGGCAGTCCCGAAGGCAGAAGACCCAGTGACGCTTCTACTCGGTCACCTGCAGGAGGGGGGACAGGGCACATCCCCACAGTCGTGAGGATGCAGACAGGGGGCCAGACTCCTGCAAAAATGGAGCTAGTGTGGGACAGAACAGAACTGAATGTGTGAATGACTCTCTGGGGAGACAGGGATTTCCAGCTTGGGCAATTCGGGGTGTGCTGCTGCGGGTCACTGAGATGGGAAGCCCAAGGCGGCAATCAGCTTGAAGTAAAGACAGGAGTTAATTCAGATTTTAAGTCACAGAATCTCTTTTAGTTTTTACTCCCCTCCTTCCTTCTTCAAAAGCTTCCCAACCTATTCAGGCAATCCTACGAAAGGAGAAGCAGGGTTCTACGCTGGCCCGTCCCGATGCCCCAGCCAGAGCGGGGCGCCCCGGGGTTACCTCGAGCTCGGGGTAGCTGAGCACCACCAGGGAGGCACAAGCGCTGACGCTGTCGCCCTTCACAAAGGACACGTCCACGCCCCCGACCCTCTGCAGCCCCGAGAAGGCGGCGTCCCGCTGCCACGCCTCCGTGTCCCGGTCCACGACGAGGGCCTTCAGCCGGGCTTGCTCCCTGAGGGCGACACACGTCCAGCGGACCTCCCGACCCCGCACGTCCGGGCCCGGGGGGAGGAGAGATTGAGGCTCTTCCCTGGGGCACTCCCGGTCTCACCACCCCCTTCCCGGGGAGCCCGGCCCCGTGAACACCCCTCCACGGTCTCACCCCCTCTTCCCGGGGACACGCCCTCCGCGGTCTCGCCCGCCCTCCCCGGGAAGCCTGGCCTCGGGGACACCCCGTCCACGGTCTCGCCCCCACCTTCCCACCGCTCCGAGACCCGGCGCCGGAAGCAAGCGCGGCTGACCCCCGCAGACTACAACTCCCGAAGGCCCTTTCGTCCGCGCGCCGGAAGCGGGACAGGCCCCCTTAGCCCCAAAGTCCCTCCAGCCCCCGACACTTGGCAGTCAGCCAACCCCATTACCGTTTCCAGAGCGACAGAGTCTCCTCAGGCGGCCACGCCACCGCCTCCCGGGCCATGGCGCGCCCCCAAGCGCCCCTTCCGGTGGCGTCACTTCCCGCTGCCGTCATTTCCGGTGGCCTGCGCGCAGGCGCCCGGTCGTCTTCGTGGTCTTGGGAGTGCTGGCTGGAGCTCGGGGTCCGACCTGTGTGTTTCCAGACGCCGCCGCCTGGTGGCGGGAGGCTCGCTGGAAGGCACCCCCCCCC